CCCCCAAAACCCCAAAACCCCTAATTCAAAAATTGATCTTAGAATAGAAAGTGATTTAATTTTGATAAATTATATGCTTTATTTGGACAAATGTGATCAAAATAATAAAATTTGTATTCTAATCAATAAGCGGGCTTAAACTCTTTGTATATAATAGATTTCAAAATATGTTACAACATGAGTTACTTTTACCTTATTTCTTGTCGTTCTTTTTAATGTCTTTTGACAATTTATCTTTGTTTTCAGTTTAAACATCATCCTAGTTTTATACAAAACTTGATACAACTCTAGCATTTTCTACATTAATAACGCTGGAGTTACTTTATTTAGAGGGGCTCTGCTAATTCTTATTTGGACTTTTACTATTTGGATTTGACATATCTAATTGGCCGCTCATATTATTATATTAGATGTTTTTATCAGAACTATCAAGGTTAAGTTTCTTTGCTTTATCATCCTCTTAAGGATTTGATTGAAATTAAATTTGTATTTGCTCCTGAGAAAGAATACTATTTTAAGAATCTAATTAAGCAAGAATTTAGTCTTGAAAATGTTGCTCATTGTCTTATTTGTTAGGCGACTCCTCATCTTCCTGATTTATTTCTTGTATGTTATCAAATTTTAATTATTTTTTTTCAGAGCCTAATTCATAATTAATGGATCTTTTGTTTGAGTCAGTGTTAAAATTATTCAGATCGTATATTAAATTTAATCCCTCTCCATTGTTCCTGCATACACATATCTCCATTGACAATTTATTTCTTATATGAGGTTTAGAGAATTCTACTTCTGTAATGACAAAGTTTTCTTCATGCTCATTCATACTTTAACGACCAAAAGATCTTCTAGAATGAAAACTTATATCGTCATGGTTTATTTTTAAATCGGAAATGTAACTGTCCTCCACTTAGCCACCTAAATCAAAGCTTACTTATTTTTTTTCTTCATTGGGTCTAAATTATTCTGGCATTCTTACTAATAATGGATTTTTATTAACGAATTCTTGGTAATCTTCTATTGGTATTAGCTTAGTTGGATCTGTCCCATAATCCCCCTAAGGCATTCTAGGAGGCCAACTTGGACCTTCGAAATTAGGTGCATTTCCTCCAAATTTAATTTATAACTGATTTGGAGCCACTATTCTTAATAGCTCATCACAAGTATTCTGCTTTGTAATGTGAATCTTTTTCTTTGTATGAGATTCTAAAAATGCTTGAACTGTAGACCACAAGAACTAAAAAGTTCCTGAAACATTAAGCAAGAAGATCCTTGCTGAAGTACAGCGATATTAATTTTGAAACGTTTCCAAGAATTATTTTAAACTCTATAATAGATAAGTTGATTTTATAAAAAGATTTCAGTTACCTTGAAAGGGACATTCATCAATCCCATATTTTCTAAATCTATCACGACTACCCAATTTTCTACTTGTCCTGGCAAGAAAAATATCTCCCTCACATATTCCATCATAAAGCTACAGGCAATTATACCATCAACTGGATCTGGCTTGGGCTGATATTAATAAACACGATAAATTATTACAGTCATAGTAGCTATTATCCTTGGCCTGATATTGATAATGGGTCTAAAATTCTTATCTCTACCGTAAACATACAAAAACCCTGATGCCTAAAAATTTGGATTGGTATAGCTGAATATTACAATAATTTTTTCAATGACTGTAGTTAACTTCAATGGAAATGCAGTTGATCTCCACTCGATTGACTTCATTAAATTATGATATGCTTTTTTATGATTAAACTGTGCTGCTTAAAGATTACGTAGAATTTCTTCTTCCTTTGTTCTATTGAACTAGTTTTATACTTCTTAACTTACTGTTCAGGTAATTAGAGGTTATTGTTCTCTATATATACTTTAAAAGCCTCAAGATGTTCTTTTTCCCAATCTAGCCATTTTTATCCTCCATAAAAAATCAATCTTTAAATGTGCTTTTCGCATATGAAAAGTCGATCCTCCTCTGATTGAATTAAATTAAAAAATAATTATTACCAATGGGGTTAAATCTATATGCTTCAATAGGCAGCTTGGATTCTTCTGGTACTACTGTAAGATATTAGAATCTCTCCTCAATCGTCGCCATTGAACCACTGTAATAGTACTTTTTCTTTTACTATGTATCTACCATTTCTAGAGTTAAATAAAAATTTTAAATATTCAATCAATACACTAATACTAACTTAAAACTAAATTCCTCTCCTGATAACATTAATAATACTTTGAATTCTTCAGATTATTTGATTAGCATAATTTCGAATTATTCTTGGAAACTTTTTATTTTTAGAAGTAGGGGTTTTGGGGTTTTGGGGTTTTGGGG